AGAAATCACCCCCCAGGGGGGATGGCCACGCCGCAATCCCTTCTCTTCCATTCTCCTCTCGGGATCTTGGGCATGCACGGACACATGCCCAGTGTGAGTTTTAAGCCACCGGGTCTGGGACACAAACCGCGGTTGACTACATGGGAGTCCAGCAACATAGTCATTACGCTAATTAAAGACCAATGGCAGCCAGGAAGAACCAAGGTCTATACTTTCGACATGTGATCTACCACAATGACCAGAATTCCAAGTCAAGCTAATAAATGTAGTTTTCTAACATTTCACAATATAGAGACTGGGTGGTAACTTCCTACCTGCATTTTGGATATGTAACAGGTTTATTAAAGATTCTAGAGATGGTTTAGTCTCACAAATCTATTATATTTTGAAGTGATATAATTTTCAAAAGGTATTCTAAGAGAATTTATTCTTACTTCTGGTGTTGTTAAGGTTGTAGTGCTACTCATTGTGTCTTCCATTTGCTGTGTTTGAACATCCAGTGTTTCAAACTGGTGTTCAAATTTGTCCATCAAGGCAGAAATCTGTAAAAAGCAATATGGTCATAAAAAAATTAAAAAAAGAACTTACATAGAAATGCTGCTATCTGAACATCATATTCTTTCTTTTGAATTTTTTTTTTTTTTTACCTTTTCAAGGTTCAAAAGGTTCATACTTCCCAATGTAGCATCCATAGACTTAACTACACCTGCCATGGATTTTGTTACCTATTTGGGGGGAAAGACAGATTTATTATCCTATAATATAAACAATTACAAAGTGCTGTGGTCTCTTACATATATTACTTACAGGTCAACTTATGGAACTTGTCTACTTCCTTAACCATAAAAATACAATATTATGAGGGTATTTCAAAAACTGTGGAAAATGAAATTAAATTATGAGTAATGTAAAGAATTGAAATTCATGTTTTCAAAAATTACTTTATCTGTAATTATCTTAAATTTGCTATAGGGCTCGTGTGTTCACCAGAGAGAGACAGACAGAATATGAGAAAGTAAGCCACCAGGTCCAGGACTTTAACCACAGTCGACCATGTGGGAACACCTTAACCACCACCATACCATCTGTTTGTTCCATGCATTTAAAAAAAATAATAATATCCATTTTCCAAAAACTTTTTGAGGCCACCTCCAATGTACTGGTCTAGTTATTGACTATATGTTTGTATAATTGCTCTATTAGATAACAACTAATTAGACCTTAGTCCAAAAATCCACTGCTGGGCCAGCCCAGTCTAGTGGTTAAGGGAGCTGTATCACTCGTACCCAACTGTAATACAAATCTTGGCCCCTGTCACTTGAAAAACATGCCAGGCATGTATGTGTGCCCCAAATCCTGAAAGGATGGAGAAAAAGAGAAGAGACTGTAGTATGATCATGCCCTATTGGTCAATGTTTCCTTCCATCACTCCCCCCACCAAATCCCTATCTCTCCATCTCCCTCTGGTTAGCACAAGTGTCTTCTGGAAATTAAAAGAAAAACAAAAACAAAAACAAAAACTCATGGTCAGAATCAGTTTCTTCACTTCTGTCCATGAAAGCCTTTACTAGCACCTTGTGACATTTTGCAATAGATTTAGATTTCTAATGCAATTCTTAATACTCTCAATAAACTTTAATCAGGATTTCTATTATTTACAGATATTAAGTCTTACCTTGCCCATTGTTACTGCAGTTTGAACTCTGGCTGCCACAGCATCAACCCTAGCACTCATTCTCAAGAAATTGATTGCTTGGTTTTTCTGGCGGATTGCATTTTCAGCATGTATTCTCGCAACTTCAGTATTGCCTTTCTGAATGGCCTATTTTAAACAGAGCAAAAGTAAATACTGGTGAAGATAAAGAGCAAAAGTACAAATATTCTACAAAAAAGGCTCCAAGTTAACCTATAATTTGAAAAAGCTTTTATAATAAGTTTTAGGAAATAATTATGCCCTGAATTATTAGAAGGAGAATTTATAGTTCTTTACATATAAAAAAAGTAAAAAAAATTCCCATAATCACATTTCTGGGTCATTACTACTGTTAATATTTTAGCATTTTATAGTATAAGTACATAAATATATTTATTACATTATAACTAGTTACTACAAAAGTATATACACAGAGCATACTGTTTTAGAACTTGTTTTAGCATATATAGTTATATAATCATCTTTTTTATTATCAGGGATGCATGTGCTCATCAGAGAGAAACAGGGAGAGAGAGAGAGAAAATCCTCAATGAGGTATAGTAAAGTCACAACTCTTTTTCTTCCATTTCTTCATATTTTTTGAATTTGGGGCAAAAACACACAATATATGGCATATTTTATAGGCCTCCAGGGCTAGGATTCAAACTGTGACAGGCCATGTGGAATCTGGCTTCCTATGCAGTGCACTTAACCACTGTGATATGGGGCCAGCCTTGCACAATCATTTCTGAAGGCTGTACTGTATGATGTACTATTTACTGGGATTTTCATGTGTACTACTATTAATAGTACATAAAATGATTCTAGATGTTACACAGACATAAGTATCTTCTTTAATTATGCATTTATTTAAATTTATATATGAAAAGGATGTAAGTAGCATAAATCCATGCTTCTCCTCCCGTAATAGCTTAGGCCAGGGTTAAAGTTAAAAGAAAAGTCAATTTAAAGAAAAATAAAAATAATTTTAAATAGTCCTCAAATGAACAAAATATAGATGGTGATATAGAAGTGACTCAAATTTGAGATTGAGGATAAGATCTCTGATTGCTGGATCTATATTACAGGGATCCCTCAGCATTCAAGGGGAACTGATTCCAGGA